AGGGTAGGAATAAATGGTAAATTTTCAGATTGGAGAGGGGTAACTAGTGGTGTACCCCAAGGGTCAGTCCTGGGACCAATCCTTTTCAACTTATTCATAAATGATCTGGAGAAAGGGGTAAGCAGTGAGGTAGTAAAGTTTGCAGATGATACAAAACTGTTTAGGGTAGTCAAGACAGAAGCAGACTGTGAGGGACTCCAAGAAGATCTCACCAAACTGAGTGATTGGGCAAACAAAATGGCAAATGAAATTTAATGTGGGTAAGTGTAAAGTAATGCACATTGGGAAAAATAACCCCAACTATACGTACAGTATGATGGGGGCTAATCTGGCTTTGACAAATCAGGAAAGAGATCTTGGAGTTATTGGACAGTTCTCTGAAAACTTCCACACAGTGTGCAGCGGCGGTCAAAAAGGCAAATAGGATGCTAGGAATTATTAAGAAAGGGATAGAAAATAAGACCCAGAATATCTTACTGCCCCTGTATAAAACTATGGTACGCCCACATCTTGAATACTGTGTACAGATGTGGTCTCCTCACCTCAAAAAAGATATTTTGGCCTTGGAAAGGGTTCAGAAAAGGGCAATTAAAATGATTAGGGGTTTGGAACGGGTCCCATATGAGGAGAGGTTAAAGCAACTGGGACTTTTCAGTTTAGAAAAGAGGAGACTGAGGGAGGATATGATAGAGGTCTATAAAATCATGAGTGGTGTGGAGAGGGAAATAAAGAAAAGTTATTTATTAGTTCCCTAAATAGAAGAACTAGAGGACACCAAATGAAATTAATGGGTAGCAGGTTTAAAACTAATAAAAGAAAGTTCTTCTTTACACAGCGTGTAGTCAACCTGTGGAACTCCTTGCCAGAGGAGGCTGTGAAGGCTAGGACTATCATAGAGTTTAAAGAGAAGCTGGATAATTTCATGGAGGTTAGGTCCATAAAAGGCTATTAGCCAGGGGATCCTTGGTGTCCTTGGCCTCTGTTTGTCAGAGGCTGGAGAGGGATGGCAGGAGACAAATCGCTTGATCATTGTCTTCGGTCAACCCTCTCTGGAGTACCTGGTGCTGGCCACTGTCGGTAGACAGGATACTGGGCTAGATGGACCTTTGGTCTGACCCAGTACGGCCGTTCTTATGTTCTTATAAACATGTAAAAAACAAATCCAGATTTGAAATTTGAAACTGGCATGAGTTCCTGAAACGATGAAAACAGAAGAAACCAAAAAAGGCAATGTGATTGTGTTGGGGAAAGATATTTTGTACATGCTCTATGAAACCGCACACAGATTTACCTAGGAAGACTCATTAGGTAACATATAAGTACAGAATCTGTTGGTATGAAATAATGTTCTGAGACTTATATCCTTATTTAAATCCACTACTTTGGGTTCAAACGTGTTATTCTACTCCAAGTTAAAAGTTTGTCGTCTTCTTGTAACAAAAGGTATGTACAGCCCCCAACAGTGGCTGCACTTCAGAAGGAAAAGTGCTAATAAAGTGCTTTGAGATCATAAGATGAAAAGTGTCATTCATTCATGCATTCACTCATTCATTCAGCCAGCCAGCCAGCCAGATTGGAGATTGCTGTGTAGGCCAGACTTATGTTTTCTTTCCCCCACAGTCATTGCAGTGTTTCTGAATAAAGACGAGGCAGATCATGCACTGTTTGGAATGCACCTTGTCACAATAGAGTGAATTTTCAAAGATGACATTTCAGCCTTAACTCTGAACTTGCTGACTTTCTGTTTAACTCAGACCCTGATATTATTTGACCTCTGATTATTTTTACTGTTTAATTGTCTTTGCTTTCAAAATCAGCCATCATTTTTTGTAAAAGCAAGAGACAACATATTTTTTACAGCTGTATAAGAGCATTTACATATTCAACCAGCAGACACTGCTCCTCAAAATCCTTTATAAACCATTGTATAAATAATATTGAGACCAATTTAATGCAAATAATTTAATAGAAAGAAAAATAATATTTTTATCCTATCAGCTAAGCCCAATGCAATCTATTTAGTCAATTTAGTCTACATGTTGCAAGATATATCAATATATATGTATATACACACACATATATATACATACTCTGATCCTTTTAAAAGATGCTTTATTGTTTTAGAGATAACAATGGTACAATCTAAATCTATGAAGTTTGCAAATGATTTCTCATGTTACATATTAAGGTATATCACAAAGCCAAAGTTATATTTATACAAATACACATATTCTATGCATCTCTAAGAATCTTTGTTATATTCTTGTCACTGGATATTTACATTTAATTTATCACATTTTCTGATTAGGTAACAAACAATACAATGAAAGTATTTGGGAAAAATAAGTGAGTATTTATG